GTTCTTCTGGAACATTTTATTTTCAACAGTCAACTCATTTGGAGAAGTGCCATGCTGAAGTTCAACCGTGTACAATGTTAACTGTGTCTCTGCCAGCAGCTGAGGACTTGCATCACGCCACCTTCTCCAGGCACCTCTTGATTAAACAATTTGAGTTCCTCTCTCTGAGAAGTTAGCATATGTTTAAGCAACCTTCACTCTCATCACACTCCTTTTATTTCCCCCCCCACCTCCTTAAAAATTATTCTCACTCTCTGAAGAGTAAGATGGAATTTCTCATTCTCTCCTCAATTAACACTCAGCAGACCTCCTGCTCACCTCCCGTGGGCCCAGAGATTTCTTGGTTGTTTAGTACCCTAGAGTGAAGCCACTGTTAGGAAAGCAAGCAGGCATTTGGACTGATGAAGTTCAACATCTCTGCTGAAGCCAGCAATTAGAAGTCCATACTTGAACACATCTTGGATCAAGTATGCAAGTCAAGCAAATCGTACTGTTCTGGCACTGACAGCAGACCATATTCATACAGAACAAGTTCACAAAATATATAATTTTCTACTTCAAGGTAGAAAAATATCTGTTAAGAGTCAAAATATGAGAAATACATTATGCTGAAGGAGTATTTCCATTATTTTTCTTCTATAATAGATTGGAAGTTTCACAAAATATAAGGAAATACAAAATACAAAATACACAAAACAACACAGACATCTCGGCCTTTGTAGACCTTTCCTGATCTGTGGAAAATAAGACCTCCTTCCTCCATCAGCAGCTTCTTCCAATCACTATTTCACTGGGGACTTTTGCATTTGTCCCTAAGTTTGCCTGGTGAAGCTTCAACATGGGACAATATTAGTTAATGAGTAGTACACAGCTATTCACCAGTTTCACATTTTCAAGTCCTTTTTATGCAGTTTCTTACTTCAAAGCACTGCCGTTCTGCCCATTTAAGAAAATTATCCACAACACCACACAGAGAAAGTGTTACAGTAAACTAAGGTAATCTCAATTTATATTGTAATTCCACATATGTTGTTTGGAATAATGGGAAAACCCAATAGGAAATGCTGATTCACACTGGGTTTCTGGAGTTCCAGATTTCAAGAGACATCTTTTGAGCTCTTCTGAAGTATTCTTCCTCAAACTCTAAGTTGTACTATTATAAGACTTAAGTTCTTCCCATTTCCTTTTTAAGGCTAAAATTAAACTTGCCCATTCCTTGGGGCCCAGAGGAACATCTGCCAGATGTCCAGACATCTATGCTGAACAATAGTCATCTACTTGTCAACTCTCTTTTTAATCATCCTTTTATCAGTCTTCATAAAAGTCAATTCCTCTTTTAAGTCAAAGTGCACAATGCTAACGAATTTATAAAGGTCACTGGAATGGAATGATCATATTTTTTTCCATTTCCACTTCTGCAGTTGCCCTGCTTTCCCTTTCCAGCACCCCATTATGTACTCATATTCTTCACAGTCTAAGCAAACAGATTATTGTATTTTTAGTCTTCCTCATGCAATAAAATAGTATTTTTAATTATGGAAGGATATTGTAAACATGACATCTAAAGTTTCTCAACAACATAACCTGGTGTGAAGCTAGCGAAAATGTAAAACTAAATCAAATAACTCTTTAAATATTTTTAAAGTAGTGCTTCATAGGCTATGTCTAATAGGTGTGAGAAGAGTGATTAAGAAAAGCATATTTAAATACTGGAGAATAAGCTACCAACGGTGATTCTTTCTATTAGAGATTGGACCAATAAAAAATTCTGTGTGCCCCAAACCAAAAGCAATTGAAAGCCATTGTCTGAATGAAGAAATTTATGCCTGATTTGGAGAAACATTCATACCACCACCATGGTGTGAATAAAGATCGTCTTTCTGCATCTTCTTTAAAAACCAATGGATTTGGGGTTTTTTGTTTGTTTGGGATTGTTTTTGGTGGGTGGAATTGTTTTGTGTTGTTTCGGAATTTTTTTCTTTTTAATAAAAGTTCTTCAGGTAGAATTTTAACATCAAGGTGAACTTCAGTCTGTCTGGGCAGAACCACAAGAAGAAGCACCATTAACAAGAATGTAATTCTCTGAAGAGGTTTCAGTCTCAAAGTGAGGAAACCCAGGGAGAAAAAAAAAAAACAAAAAAACAAAAAACAAAAAACCACAACAAAAAAAACCCCATTAAAACTACTGCAATGTTGCTTGGTTTCCTAGGGTGTCAAGAGGCCTTCCCAAAAAGATCTTCATCTGAAATCTCAGAGCTGTTCTTGGATTGCACATGCCATGTTCAAGGGCAGTGTATCTGCAGGGCACCCTGTGGTGCCAGCACTGGGCTGACCTCTCCAGAAGTAAGAGGAGATTCACAGCTCTGAACCACAAGCACTCTGCATACGGTCCATGTAGGGGATGGATATTTGGGATCTGACCCAAATAAGCAAAGGTCAGTGGGCAATTTTTCAATTTGTCTTCAATGGCTGACTTAGACCTGTGCAGAGGTCTTAAAAATCCATCAAAAAATATCACCTTGGGGGCAGGTGGGGCGGGGGGAAGAAACCCAAAACAACACCACAACAGCAAAAACAACCAACCCAAAACCAAAAGCAGTTAGCCTCTCTTTTTGCCAAAATATAGGATTAAACATACCTGAAATGGTATGTTCCATGGCCTTCTTCTGAAAGATGGAGACAACCAGAGAACCTCAGTAATTTGGGTGACACATCAGCAACCAGAACTTAAGAAATTCACAGTTGATAATGCAATATCCTTCCGAAGTATGTTAGATTACACATTAAAACATTTCTTCCACAGCAAAAATAAAACAAGGGCATTGATTTTTAACCTCTAAGACGGATCTCAAGTTCATCACCCGTCTCTGCAATCCTCAAATCTTTCTGGTTTTTTGCACATCTGGGAGGATGTTCTGATTCAGATTCACTGTTCCCCCATCCTGCCACTTAACATCTTCCCATATTTGTTCTTAAACACCTTAGAATAATCAATGTATGGACATCACTCACACCCTTCCATGGAGCTGTGCCTTCAAGCGCAGCAGCACTGCACTCCAGATGTATTTTGGACTTTTTGAGGAACTGCATCTACTGTGCAGCTGATGTGCAGATTTCAGTGGGTGGGAAAAGATCCGAAGCCTGTTTTGAGTCTACTCAAAATTGCTTCAGATTAAAAGGTGGGTTAAAAACAAAGCACACGAATTCCTGCTCAACTGCTATCTTGCTTTAAAGATCTCAGGTTTCCATAATGACATTAAAATCACAGTAAGAATGTTGCTGTAAGTTTTCAGGAAAAAACAGTATTTTATGACACCAAAAAGACAGCTGTGAAAACTGTTTTGCTTTTTCCAAGAGAGATTATGTATGTTATGATGCTCTGAGGAATCTACTAAAAGCTTGCCAGTATCACTTTAATGCAACCTAGTGAGTGGGGAGAAATATTCCATCCTAATTTAAAACACATCCAAAAGAAGGAATGCTCTTGGAAATGAGATGTCAAAAATCCCAAAAATTAGGCATCATCACCTAGGAAAAAAAGAGACATTTCATGATACCCTCTGGAAGAACCTGAGCAGCCTCAAGCTGCATGCACTTACCTCCAAATGCTTTCAGAAATCTAAAAATATATGCTTATATATGCTATTTACTTGGCCAACTGATCAACCTCCAAAATCCTGTGGTCTTTGACCAAAGAAAAATATCTAGAAAGGTGACCTCTGCATGAAAGCATGAGAGGAAAAAAAGCCTGAGGATGTGTTTCTCTGTGTGAAGGAGAATCTGAGCAATTTCCTCCAATCCTCATTTCCTGATAGCATGAAGACAGCGAGAAGACCCATCACAATGTTGTGCATTGAAAAATCTGAAGGGAAAACCTTAGGGGAAAAAATCATGATTAAGCCAGCTCCTGCCCAGCAAAGCCTCAAAACATGGAGAGACATCCACAATGTTAGGAGCACTTCCCATCTCAGCTTTGTCTACTCTCTCTCTCCTCCATTTTCTGGTGGAGCTAGAGAACATGACATGGCTTACCTGACTCAGATCACAGCTCTCTGCCAAACTAGTCACTTCCTCTTAGACATGCAAGCAGCTCCATGAGACAAACAGACCCCCACAGATGCACACACAAAAGCAGGAGCAGAAAGCCCTCAAAACTTGGAGGTCTCTCCCCTTCCAAACACCAGAGAAACAAATGAAACTTTTCCCTTTTTCTCCCCCAAAAAGAGGGAGGTGAAGGGAAGGGGGGGAGGAATCCTATCAGATCACAACTACATGAAGCTCCAGGAGTATCTCTCTGTGAGGAGAATAGAAACCACAATGCTGAGGGGAGCCGGGGGGCACGGGGAGGGGGGGAAGGAGAAGGTTACTCCAGAAGACATAAAGAGCCTGTGGACTGTGTGTGTGCATGTGTGCGAGAGCGAGGAGAAGCTTTGTGTGGTGGAGCCTGGACTGGAACCAAAGCAGACAGCTTGCAAATGGAGGACAGGGAGATAAAGAAAGGGAAAGACGGGGAGAGATAGGGAGAAACCTGCCCCGGGTGGGTTGAGAAAGGGGCAGGGGAGAAAGCGCCTTCTCCCTTGCCTGGCTTAAAGGTAGGGACATCGGGGAACTGAACAAGTAGAAGTGGGCTCCTTCCCCTTCCTTTCTTCCCTTCTCGCTCTCCTTTCTCTCAAAGGAGAGCACAAGCGTGTGTAATGGCTCCTGCTCTCCAGCCGAACGCTGTCCTCCTCCAAGCCACCTCCTGCGGGCACCAGCAGCCCCCCAGCCCCGACGCCGCCGGGGACCCCCGCATCCCAACTCCGGGAGAGCCGCGGCGGGGGCACCACCGCCGGGCGAGGACCAGCCTCGCCAGCGGCGAGCAGGGCAGCGGGGGGACGAGGAGGAAGAGGAGGAGGGGGAGAGCGGCTGGCAGAAAGAAAGAAAGAAAGAAAGAAGGAAAGAAAGAGAGAAAGAAAGAAAAGAGAGCGAGAAAGAAAGGAAGGAAGGAAGAAAGAGGTCACCCGATTGCCTGGGTCGTGCCAGCACGGAGCTTTTCTCTCCTCCGTGTGTCTCCCGTCTCTGATCCAAGTCCACACGCACAGCACCATCCAGACCTCGCACACACACACATATCCTCTCAGGCACCCCCCACCCCGAAAGCTCGGCTGGTATCTCACTTATCTCCCCATATTTCCCCCACCCCACCCCCCCCCCCCCCCGTAATGCAACAACAAAAAATTAATTAACCGCCTTCCTCCTCCTCCCACCACCACCACCACCACCACCAGCACCTCCTCCTCTTCTCCTCCTCCATGCAAGAGACCTCTCTCAAACAAAACACCCCGCTCTCGCTCCCCTCTCTTCTCTTTTTTTTTTTTCCCTTTCTTTCTTCTTCCTTCCTCCGTTGACCGAATGAATGGATTTCAGAGGAAGGTGGTGGAAAGAAAGACGGACATAAAAGACCAAACAAAATAACACACGCACAGACACACACACAACGAGACACAGACACGCACACAAACGAGAGATGATCTCTCCAATGCCAAACCAGAGATGGGTTTTAATTGCAAGAACTTACAGGAGCGTCCCGGCACTGCTGCTCTTGCTGCTGCCTCCTCTCCTCTCCTCTTCCTCTCTGCCTAGCTCTTCTTGTTATTGTTGTGGAAGTTGTTTTGTGAGTCTCATGTGCTCCTTGCCAGGTCTCAGCAATGGAGGATCGCCATCTTTCCCTGCTTTTCCCCCCCTCTCTCTCTCTCCCTCTCCCTCTCTCTCTCTCTCCTTCACTGGTTTGCTGCAGCTGCAGATGACCTGAGATATCCGTCTCTCTCTCTCTCTCTCTCTCACCCTCTGTGTCTCTCTCTGAATAATGAGCAACCAGAGGGAGAGAGAGAAAGAAGACAATCTCCTCTCCTACCACACAAAACGCAAGAGCACCAGGGGGTGCAAGAATCCTTTCTAACAACAACAACAACGTGTAGGGGAAGAGGAGGAAAAAGAGAAAGAAAAGAGAAGAAAAGAGAGGAGGAAAAGGCAAGAAGAAAGAGGAGGGAGGTGGAAGAGGAGGGGGGAAAGCAAGCAAGCGAGAGAGATCCAGCAGGCAGACAGATGGAGGAGAAGATGGTAGTGATAGAGGAGGAGGTGTTGAAGATGAAGGAGATTAAGAGGAGGAAGGTGGTAACAAAAAGTTAAGGTTTGGGACACTGAATCACTCACAGGCCAGGGAGGAGGAGAAGAAGGGGGAAAGATCTGAAGATCTTCCCCTTCCAAGCTGTTGCCTTCACAAAGCTTCCCGTGCAGGAGCGCTCAGCAGCTCCTGCGATGCTGGGGGAGCCGCTGGGATGGAGCGCTCTGCTGGGTCATAGCTCTCTTCCAGCCATGACAAAAACCGGTTTCTGCATGCAGATCTGCCCCCGAGGTGATCCCTCAGACACATCCATCTAGAGGCTAATCTTCCCTGAGCAGGGTAAAGAACATAAATGGAGCTGGAGGTTGCAAAGTATAAAACCAGATCTACCACGTGGTTGGTTTTTAATCCCCCTTCCAGCTCGCATTTGATGTGGAGAAAGGACACTCAAATTGTCCATTTCTGGCACGTATTTTGAAGTCTACTCCTGGAAATAAAAGACAGTCATCTCCAGGTTTTTTATTTCTCACAAGCGTTTGGGAGAAAAGAGAGCTTGCACTACTATCACCAAAATCACTTCTACATTGGTGAAACGTGTTTTTGGCCGCAAAATAAAATAAATAATTCCACTTAAAATAACTTTTATGCCTCCCAACACCTAGTTGTCTGCTTCTTTGTGACTGATTATTTAAAACCGTGGAAACTAACGATCAAGGCTCACAAAGAAAGGTATCTGGGTGATGAAGGCAAGCAGACAAAGACAAAGCGGCTGTAGCCTGCATTTTTATTTAGTCTCGTTTCTATTAAGCATTGTCCTGAGCTACTTCTTTTGCTCGACACCCCCACCTCAGCGCAACCTCCCCCCTCCCCTTCAGTCTTTCCACAGCACCAGGTCAGATTCTTTCTGGGGTTATGTCTAGCGAGGAAAGGGGGATGGGGGTGGAGGGGCGGGAGGAATTAGGGTTTACGTGCAGACTCAGTAAATCAATACGCGGGAGTGAGGCAAAATCAATTTGAGCACAAGGGCATGACTGGTATTGGAACATCAGTGGGGTTTCTCGAGCTCTCCAGCTCTGCAGTTTTGCATGGCTGGAAGAGAGACTAGAACCACGGAGCTCCGGTTCGGGTGGAGGGGGAGATCCTCCCCTGCTCCGAGGAAGTTAACATATGGGTGGTGGACCTAAGGTGATCTCCTGGAAATTTTAGAGTTCAGGTTTTACTGACTATGGGAGAAGTCAGGCATGTTAGAACTTCATTGTGTCTCTCAGCTCAGCTGAAGACCAAATGCAGGAATACTAACCATAGCAATAAAATAAAATAAAATAACAAAAATCGGTCGCCCAGGTAGTGGTCAAATATTAAACCCATGCATCCTCCGCTCTTCCCATCCACAAGAATGCCGTGAGCACAGATGCAGGATCTCTCCCATTAAATCTTCTTTTTCTTCGAGCCGTGCAAGTTAATGACTAAACAGGAGAAAGATCTTCTCCCTCCTCCTCCTCCTCCTCCTCCTCCTCCTCTCCCCTCTTTCCGCTGCCCCCCCCCTCCACCCCAAACAAGTGCTGTGAGAAATGGGAGGAAGGATAATATCTGGGCAGAAGGAGCACTGTTGGATGTAGAGAATTCTTCTTAAGGAAAAGGGGAAAAAACACCAAAACTGAGGATTCCTACTAAGACTACTAGTTTCTTGCAGACAAACGGAGCGGACACCTCCTAAGAAGCTGATAAAAGAACATTAAGGAAAAGGGAGGGACTGTCTTTACGGCTGCCAGAATGTGCATGTGTTCTGCCTGCAATTTTCTATAAATCATCCTCATCGCAGGAACAGAGCGCCTGGGCTTTGCAATATTTGACGTACCATCAACGCCGAGACAGATAATTCACCTCTTTGTCTCTCAGCATTTTAAATTTAAAAACCAAGCAAGCAAACAAACAAAAACAAAGGGAGGGGAAAAAGAAAACCCAACCAAAAACAACTCGAAAAAAAAAAAATTAAAAGAGAGCGAGAAAGAAAGAGCAACCCACAACCACAAAACACTTCTGCTTCTGACCAGAAAGAAAGAAACTGGATCTTCATGGAGATGGTCGGGAAGTGTTTTCCCGCCCTGTCCCCCCGGTCCTTGGGCGGGGGGAGCCCCCCGAGCCCCGGGGCACAGCGGGAGGAGCCGGGGCTCCGCGGGGCAGGGCTGGGGGCCGCGGGCCGGGGGGCTGCTGCCCAGGGCTCGGGTGGTCCATAACTTCCTCCCGCAGGCTCGCTGCCATCCCACCGCGCCCCGAGCGCCGCCGGGACACCCGCGGCGAGGTGGACACGCCGGGCTCTGGAGAAGCGGACACCATGGCGAAGAGGAAGGGCGAGATTCCACCCCCCTCCAGCAGCCCTCGGAGCGCTGGTTTCGCTCAGAAGGGGCATCACCGAGAGGAGCGGGGCGAGCCCGGGGGTGCGGGACCCTCCGCGGGCGGGGGGACCCTCCTGGCTCGCGCTCGGCACTGAAGAGGTTAATCCTGCTGGCAGCCCCCAGGTCGCAATTACCCCGGCGGGTTGAGTGTCCCGTTAAGGGCGATGGAGACAGTCTGCTCCTCTCGGGGTGCTGCCCACGGCAGCCCCGGTCCCCACCCGCGGGTGGGATGCTAGAGGGGAATTTCAGCTTCCTTCTGTCTTCCCGACAAAGGTGGTGTCCCACCGCCGTGTTGGTTTGAAGCTACAGTAGAAGGGGTGATCTTGGTTTTAAATAAAAGAAATAAACCTTTGCTCTTTTACCTGAGGTCCATGTTCCACCACCTAGCCAGGAGAATGAAAAGCCAGGGGTGATGAAACAGGAAGGAAACAAACACACATAAAGACCCCAAACCAACCAAACAACTGTTGGTTTTTCAACACAGAACCAAACACAAACATCTTTCCAGCCTCTCGGATTGACTGCATCTTTTCCTCACCCAGAGAATCTGACCAGCCTGAGGTGGATCCCAAACATTTCATCCCTCAGGCAGGGGCTGGCTGTGTGCAATGAGTCAGGTTTGCATGGCCACGGCTGACACCTGTGTGCTGCAGCCCATGGAGGCTGCACACTGAACCCCAGGGGTGCAAGACCACAGGCAGAGGGGTGAGAAGACTGTAGAAAGATCTATTCTGAATTTCCTTTCCTCCAAGCAAATGTGGAAAATAAGACACTGAAAGCAAAATCTTTGTAGATAGTCAGCAGTGAAGCACTGTTGTTAATGTCCACTCACAGAACTAGAAGTAGCTTCTTTTTTTTTCCCTTCCAGATTTGGAAGAATTTCTTCCTTTTCCACAACAAGTTTGTATGAACTTCTATTTATTCTCCTCCTCTTCACAGCTGTTTTTTCCTACCAGAGCTAGGTAGGCAAGAGGCAAGTAAGTATTGTATCAGCTCCCTGAACAACTAAATATCAGTCTGTCTGTAGAATATTATGTTCTCCAGCTATTGAGAGAATTTCACTTTCCTGTCTAAAAAAGATTAGTAGTGTGCTGATCTGACTTTTATCCCAGTAACTCTCATATTTTTTTAACCTCTAAGAGTTTTCTTCTTGGGAAAGGACTTTGAGGAGAAGCTAGTTGTCTGAAAGTGCTGAAGTCTTGCTCTGATCTATGAAAGACAAGGGACATCATCTCATCAAGAAAATTTTCTTTAAGCAAGTACTCTTGTAGGTGGCAGTGTATTCAAAAAGGTTTATGCGTAAACAGTACAAATCTAGGCTTTTAAGAGCTCTTCCGAAAATTATTCTATTAAAACATAAAACTTTTAGACTGCTAACAAAATTTGAAATTATTTTCTTTTAACCTGGCAGAGCTCAGACTGGGATCTCCAAGAAAAAGCTCTTCATGGTGAGATCACTTTGTCTGCAAACACACCCTAGAATGTAGTACACATGTTGAAAACCCATAGAAAAATGTATTTTTATGTTGCTGAGAATGCTTAAGAGAAGTGCAGTGGTGAGGACCATGCTGGGTGTTGGAAGGTACTTCCTTCTCTGATAGACTCATAAGTGGCAATCATTAGAAATAGAGGTTTTGCTC